TTCCAGAGTGTTGTGTGACAAATCATAAAATATTACAAAGACAATGACTGCAGTGGGGGAGGGAGGATTATTTAGAGACGCAAAGACTTCATTTTGTTTTCCAAAGCATTCTGTTGTGCAGTAAATTAAATATCAGCTGCAAGTTTCCTACGGCAGTTGCAGTAGCCTCCAGTGCCCTCACACACCACAGAGGATGAAGACAAGTGCTTATATAGCATGGACACAAGCCAAGGAGCCATCACTGTAATGTCTACAGAGCTTTTTCACCATTAATGCTTCCTTTTCAAAATACAAGCATTTGAATACTACGGATCTCTTCAGTTTGCTCTCCCTTAGATTTTATTAGCAACAACAACAGCCGTTGTTTGTGTGTTTGTTGAACTTTAACAAAGAGCTTTGCTTTGTCTTCCAAGGGCCCCACTTGGGCAACTGTGAGGCTACAGATGTTTCCACCCAAGCTGCCTTTGGATAATTGTGTTTTCAGCACACTCTGCTGATGAACGTTGTTCCCATGTCAGATTTGTTGGCTTCCAAGTACCTTGCCTCCTAATAGGTTTTTGAGCTTTAATTGGAAGGTCTGCTGTGTAATTACAGATCTGGTTTCATGGTGCAGCATTCTAGCAGTTGCCTTGACTTGCTGTGTCCTCACTGTTTTTTATGCTTCTTATGATTTAGTTCCTCACATCTGAGGGACTCTGAAGGGTATCTGTAATGTTTAGAGAATGAAGAATAAGAAACCAGTGAGATGGCTTATCTGCCCAGATTTTGTTTTTTTCTCTGTCACCTTCTCCTCTTCCCTTTTTCCCCGTTTTCTGTTGTGCAACTGGATACAGAATTCATCTGTCCATGTCATATTAATCTCATGTCATATTAATCTCATGTCATATTAATCTCATGTCATATTAATCTCATTACAAAATAATTTTGTAAGAAAGACTGGCAATAATCACAATTATACGCATGCACCTGACTACGTATTTTTACAGTTCTTTGGTCTCTCTTAACAGGCAGCAATTTGGAGAGATCGCCGAATCATTGTTCTCTCTCCTTTGTACTAAGGTTCCATGGAAGGCTCCAAAAAATCATGAGATTCTTTTTCCTGTTATGGTAAGAAGTTCATTTAGAACTCAGCAATGACTAACAGATGCTTAAATAATTCTTTCCAATACTGTCAATGAACTTTGTGTTCTGTGATCTGCCTTCATTCAGCTTTGCATAATCGCCCTCCCTGAAATTGTCTTCTCACCTTGTACATCCTAAGAAATTGTTTCTGAGTTCTGTTATGGTGGTTTGGGAGCTCTAATTGTTCGACTTGAAATCTTAAATACTGCAAGGAACTTGCAAAGATCCCCCATAGAGGGGTGAATTTCACCAAAGTCTCTTTTGGAATATAGATGTTGGGTTCCTTGCAATTATTTCCTAAAGCAGTTTCATCTGTGCATCTCTCGGAGAGGCTTACCTGACCGACTGTCATTTCATTGGGAAGTCTGGGACAGCTCTCAGCTCACTCTAAAGCTGTGTCAATCTTCAGGTACTGTTATTTCTTGATCCTCTTTTATATGAAACTGATTCCCTTTGATACCTATCTGGCATTTTTTATATAGTTTTATTTTCTTTTAGTGTCATTCCCTGGCAAAAAATATTTTATGTTCTATATCTTTTTTCCCCACCATAGCACTCCTTTCAGCCCTTACAAACCTTTTTTCTTTTTTTATGCATATTATAAAAAACAATCTCATACACAATTTCAGCCTATTCCTTTTTCTCTTATCATTGTTACAGTCTTTTAACTTCATTCATTCCTATGTACCACTCTGTGTGTGACTGTTTTCGCTCCTTAACCTTTGATTACTTTTTGCATTTAGACATTTTATTACGGTATTTGCTGCTGGCTGTCATGCTAACTGCTACCCTCTAGGACATAACATTAATGCCCAGAAACATTTTTTCTTTGATATGTACTTCCTTCATTTTTTTATCCCATTTCATTTTACCCAACACTTACATGGTTCTTCTAAAGTTGCAGTTCAATGTCCTCACTTAGAAGTCTCCCAATTTTAAGATAAAAATGAAAATAATGGGGCTATTTTTGAAGTAGCAACTTCATCACGTCTGGCTTTCTGCCAAATTCCATTGATTCTCTTTTAGTTGTTTTTTTTTTCCTTACATTGTGTGCAAATTCTATCATAATACTGTGCTATACTTTAGTGATTACTTCCTCTTCAGAATTTATATCAAACGGACTGAAAACTGTGATCAAACTGTAATATCACATGTGTGTTGTTTGAATTGGATTAACATTTGGTCAAATGTCTCTTTCAAATCATTAGTTCTTCCTGCCAAATTTTTCCTTCATTCCCTTTAATTTTGTATGATAGTTGTATCTCCTCAATGCACATAATGTTAGATGTTACCTGGTGTAGATACTAAATGTAAACTTTTTACTATGCATCTTATGGTATTCTCATTTAACATCTTATGATCTGTTCAGGTCTCTGCTACCTTCAGAACATCGCACTGGTGTCTTTATTCGTGGTGTGAAGGCAACGCTACATCAGGCATTTTTTGGGCTGAATCACAGGAAGTAATAAGATTTCTTAAGGTTGGTATCTTGAAAACTTATTGATACGTTTCTAAGTGTCCTTCAACTAATGCACATGCATTCAGTGCATGGTTAAATGTCTTGTTGTGTAGGGTTGAAATCACTGATGTCAACTGGATGGTTTTGGTTTGGTAATTTAACACTTTCAAGTGGGGATGTCCAGATTAAACTGGATTTCTTCTGCGTTACCTAAGAAATGTTTTATCAGCTCTGCCTTCCCTTAAGGCCTTTGATCAACATGGATTCCCTAGGATCCCTTGGATGGTAATCACTCTTGTGACACTTGTCTCAAAAAGGTTTGATTTTTATTGCTATAAGGTTTTTTGCTCTTAATTCCAAGCTTGTTGACAGCATGCCTGGTGTGCAGACTTTACTTTCATGGTAACATATGGGAATTTTATCCTGTCATAAGCGCGTACAATTACCAACAGGTACCAGTTTCAGATGATGATCTGGCTTTAGCAGTTGCCAGCGTGTTTGTCCTCAAGATGGGTTTGCTTGGACAAATCCTCAGAGTTTCATACATGCCCAAAGCTGTGGTCTTGTTCTGCTCCCTCCAGTTCGCTGGTTTAGGCCAGTTGTATTTCAAACAAGATGAGCTTTGGAGTGATTTCCGTGCAGATGCCCCATTTATCAGGAGAGGAAGCCACCTATGGGTGCTGCCTTCACCTGAATTGTGCTCAGAAGCAACAGGTGCTTTAGCTTTTGTATGAGCCAGCAGTAAGTCATCTACTTCATTAGCTCGTGGCAGCAGGCTCTACCCTCTCCTCATCCCTTTTGCTCCTTATCAAATATACCAGGAAAGGAGGATCTGGTTAATCAAAGGAGAAATACCTGCTCAGGCTGCAGCCAATCTGGAGTGAGTGCTTCTCTTTGTTATTTACAGCCCAGGGAGTCCCTGCTTGTCCTGCCAACCTTCTGGTTTCATTTGAAATGGGTTTAAAGAGCCACTAAAAGTATCAGGGTGTAAAAAGAGGGGGAGAGAGATAAAAAAGAATGGAGATTTTAACAGTGAAAGGAGGTTGAGGAATGAAAGATAATAGGTTCTAGGGAGCCAGGTGTTCATGATGGAGGTGGGGAAGTTGAAGGAGATGACATCCATTGGCCTTGCAGTGAAGGTAGCACAAGATTGGAGCATTCTTTTGGCTTGCTGTTGGAAACAGAAAGAAACAGCAGCCCCAGTGATGTCAAATATCAATGATTCAAGTGTTGTTGCTATAGTGATGTGCTGGAGGAAGCAACCTGATATGCATATGTGAGATTTGCTGTAGGATACAATCTATCAATGTTGACCCATGAAAACAAACAAACCGGCTGAAAATCCCATCTTGCCTGAAGTTGTGAATCTCCACAGACCTATTGATTCTTGTGCGGGTGTGTATCGCTCAGGAGGTAGCCACGGCAGCAGAGGAGAGGTAAGGAAGTAGGAGGGACACAGACACGGGCCTTGGGGAGACTCACTCCTCTTGTGTTTGGAGCACCAGTCACATCCATTGTTTTTATCTTGTTCCTCTCGTCATCCTCTCCCGTGTGCATGCTCAGTGTCACCAGCCCCTTACTCTCCAGCCTCTGACCCCTCATTCCCTGAGGGGTTTCTCCCTTTCCATAGCAGCCATGTCCCTCTTTGCTACAGAGTCACTTTTATCACACCCTTTACCCTAATGAGCTCCTCCATCTTTCACAGTCCTTCTCACGTTTTCTAAATTTCATTTTTCCTACTGATTGTCTCCCTCTTCACCCTCCAACTCATCATTTCATTCTTTTTCCTTCGCCGTGGAAGAAGACATTGCCAAAATGCCACCTCTAATCTTGTTTCCCATTTCTAGCATGTAATTTATTAATCCTCTCTTTCCCTTTTTTCCCTTTTATTGAGCAGCCTGCATGCTAATACAGCTCAAGTTTTATTTTCAGATTGTCAAATAAATAATTTCACAAGTCTTAAGAGTAGGGGAAAAATAAAAAAGAGCTTTGAAATAATGATCACCCCTGTCTTTCCACCGAGGCATTTGCTTTTAGATCTATACAAATCACTTTATTCAAGGATGATATAGCTGTCCCATATCAGTTAAATTAATTATCGGATAGCGCGTTTAAGGAGCTAAGGTGAAAAGCCAGCTTTTGCCTCATTGATAAAGAACCATTACATAAAGCCTTCGTATTACTGTAACTCTGGTCTCTTAATTAAATCTGTACTGTTGTTGGGTGGCGTTTGGGGGGGCTCTGCTGATCAGAGTCTGTCACTTGTCTGTGCTCTTTGCACCCATGTCACTGCTTGGGATTCCCAAGTGAGGGTGCCAGTTCACCCCCAAGGCTGGTGGCTCAGATCTGTCAGACCTTTCCCATTCCAGGGGGCTGGAAGCCTACAAGCCCTGCTCAGAACTGTAGTTTGCACTGAACAGCGGGTCCGTTGGGAATTAAGTACTAATTATTAACGTCTTTCTGCCTTCCTAAAGTAATTTGTTTTTTCATCCCACATGTGGGTGGAGATGCAGTGTGAAATTTTTCAGACTGAACAGATTCTAAAGTCGTCCCTCCAGGAGTGTGTCAGCTCACATGGAGCTGGGAGATGACTGCACATCACACGACGTATTTAGATATGAGCAATCGGAAATTCATGGACACTGCTGTAGATGTGCTGCTTTGGGGAACAACAGTAAGGAATGCTGCTACTTAAAGAAAACGCAAGTGTTCTCCAGTGCCAGAAAGGTAAAAATCAACAAACATCACAACCTGGTAAATCTTATCTGCTGCATTACTGACATGTACAAATAACGAAGAGCTTAAATGCTCACTACCGGTATCTGTTACCTCCTTGCAAATGCGACAGTTTTCTCTGCCAGTGTTTGTCAAGCTACCACGACTTGCATTCATATTCCATATGGATATGTATTTTTTCTTTGTTTTCCTTTGACATTAATGCTCTGGCAGAGCTTTCTAAGTAGTAAAGCAAGGAAATTAACTTACATTTGCCGGCTTGCTAAAGTAAATTAGCTACACTTTTGACTTTCTGTGGTTTTACTCTGAATGGGAGAAGCAATAAAAATGAAATAAGGCTAATCACTGTTGTTCTATGGTTTTCTCTGTGGTGTGTTAAGAGGAGAAGAACCCATAACAAAAACCCATGAGTTCATATCTGCTTAAAACAGGTCTCTAATTAGCTTTTATAATCGATCTCCCCGCTCTGGCAGGTGAACCAGGTAATTATCTTGTTTATACTGTAGGTGAGTCACAAAATGCTAGATAGCTTTCTCTGTATCTTTAAAAGATAATGCATTGTAACAAGTGTTCCCAATATGAATGATCCACTGTCATAAGCCATACCATCTGTTTCACACGCAGCGATGTGAGATCTCGTTTTATTCTTTGTTACAAAGAGCTCTAGACATCAAAGAACTGTCCCTTTGACCACTCTCTCAATCAAAGGATTTTACCCAGACAAATCTGTACTTCCCATTACGGTTTCAGCGCTGCAGAGTATGTGGTGTTTCCTGGTATGAAGAGGAGGAGTCTAGTCACTGGTGCTTTTTTTAAGGGCCAAATCTTGTCACCCTTCACTTCCCACGGGCCTTTTGAGTAGCACAGAAACTCCAAACTCAGCAGTTAATTAGGGGTTAGTTACTTGGGGCCTGAGGCTTTGCAGATTGACTGTGGTGCACTGTACAATGTCTGTCTTTTATTCAGTAGGATGTGTCTATCTGGTGCCTTCCAGAAGGTGGAGATGCGTTGGCTAAATGCATGGTTAGGATTAAGTTGATGTATCCAGAGCTCTCAGTATGTTTAATTGCTAATAGAAAAATCCCTAAATCTGACATTTTTTTGAATCTTCTCTATTCTCATGCTATTCACTCTGTGCTTTATTTACATAATACAGCTATTTCTCTTTCTTGCAGGTCATCTCATAGTAAGTGCTACAAAGAAATAATCCCTTTTGACAACCTTTAGAGGGTCACAGCCATATTTGAAGCCTGTGACCAGTAGCACTAATAATGGTGTATTTGCAAAGAGAGGACACACAGTGCAGTTCTTCCTAGTATAATGTGGAAGTGTTTCATCTCTTTTGTACTAGAGAAGAGGCCTCTTGCTTGTGCTGAATGGCTGAAATATGAGAGTACATGTTTTCCATAATCATTAGAACAATAGTGTACCAGCTTCTCCCCAAGCTAAAAATAATCCTGTCGTGGGCATGCCCCTTTTCCTCGTCTCCTTGATAACTGAATTCAAAATTTCCATAAATAATGTCTTTTTTTTTCATTTTTCATAGACTTGTCCCTAGCAAATTTAGTTTCAAGGTCTTTTATTTCTGTTTCTAAAGTAATTATCCTCTGGGCCTCTTCCTTTCTTCCTGGTATGATGCTAGACTAATTATTCTTCTCCTAATGAATGCCTGAAATGGATCCCATATGGTGGCATATGTGCCTTCAGATGGAAGCTTCGTTTGAATAAAATAAGAAAATTCTTCTCTTGGGGCTTTCTTAAATTTTTCATTCTGTAACAATGATGAGTGAAATCTCTGTCTTGGGGATAGACGCAGCCAACTTGCTTTCTATTACACTTCCAGCTTTCTCTGAACTGGAGGTTTCCATGTCTCTCCCCTGCGATGGCCATAGCAAGCTGTGGGGCTCTTACTCCACCTTGTCACAGAGACTACTTGAATGTGTCACAGCACCATGGCATTTGGTCTGAAAGCCTTTGTGTTTCCTTAAAAAATAGTCTGGATGCTTTTATTTCTCTTGCAGTTGTCACCTTTCTCTAGACCTACCCCACAGCACGCAATGCCCCTTTTTATTGCCTTTATCATTCAGGCCACATAGTGACTTCTTAATACAATTTCCTAAGAAATAAGAGACTAATCCCAGTTTGTTTCTTTGCATGCGATGACTTGAACTCACAGTTCCCAGCAAAATGCTTTATCTGCCAGATTACTGACTATTCTATGGTGCATGTGAGTCTTTGTATCTATATGAGAACAAGTACATTAAATGCATACATTTCAAATGAAGGTCTTGAGGTGTCAGCACCGTAAGCCCTGCACCGGCAGTGACAGCACCACAAGGAATGGCTGCAGAAATCCTGGTCGTGGATGTGTACAACCTTGCATTGAGAGCTGTGCAATGGAGAGTGTTTTCACCAACTTTAAAATCAGGTAAAAATAGGGTCATTAATACCATTTTTTGCAAGCATACATAAGTAAAACAAGTCACACTGATACATTAAGCAAAATATGTGAGACATTTCAATTCTGCCATCCAAACTGTTAACAAATTCAGGGGGTTTATTGCTTAAGACTCATAATTTTCCTGTAGATTTAACTTTAATGCAGTTGTGTTTTCTGTATGAATTAGTGTTTTATTTATGGAAATCTCCGATGCATCATGTTGTTCTTAAACCAAAAACATTTTTCTACATATTAATCACTGAAGTAGGCATGGGGAAATCTGTGTTCTGAACTTCCAGCTACCACAGCACACTGTGCTTGAGTCGACCGAGCAACGCTGCAGTGAATGAGTAAGATTGCATCTTCTAATTACGGAGGGGATGCTAACGGCCTGGCTCTGTCTGAAGCAGGGTTGTGATTTGGTATCGTTGCATAAAAGATATTCCAAAATGGAAATATTTGTAGACAAATGAAAGAGGAAGTGAAATGCTGTTTTAAAAACCACTGATTCCGCATAAAGTTATTTTAGTAGTCTATCACTTGAATCATGCTAATCGCTTGTGAAAACATCATCATTTTATCTGATGCATGTATTTGTTCTTGCTTTCAGAGACACAATGGGGAAATACTCTATTGATTTTCATTAGAACATTTGATCCCAAGTTGATAAAGAAAAGGACAGTAAGTAACTGTGCCACTATTAATATCGAGCTCTACTTGGATTTAAAAAAGACCTTCAGCAAAGTGTGAATCTGCAATCAGGGAGAATGTTGGAGGAGGAAAAAATGCCTGATTTTCACAAGTGCTATGAGGCCTTAGTTTCTGTTTAAATGGAAGAGCGTTTGCCTCTGGGTGGTCTCAGCCTGAGAATATCAAGCCAACAGCTTTGCAAAATACATACTGCACTTTTGTGAATAAGCTTATTTTTTTCTTACTTGCTGGCAGTTTCTTATTTTGTTTTCTCTTCTCTGAATGAGTAATTGTTAGCATTCCAATAACCCAGCTCAGGCTTTAAAATAACAAACCACAAAACAGATTTTAGCTCCTTTAACAATCTTCAAGCTTGCACATTCTTGTAAGGCATAATCCTTGCTTTGGATTTGTTCTATTTTGCTCCATTTTGTCCTATTCTGTACAGAATTTTCTGATATACTTGTGAAGATTTTTAACAGACCAAACCTGGAAGAGTCCCCAGTGATCTGTTCAATAGCTTGTGTCCTCTACCTGACTTTCAATCACTCGCTACAAATAACCAAGGGAACATAAACCATTTTAGGGGATAATAATTTATCTTTTGCAGAACAGTTGGTTTCTTTTCTTTCACCGACTCAATGCGGTGACCATACAGAATGTTTAATTCCTAGTTCAGACAGCAGTTTCTTGTTCAGCTTCCTTTAAAGTCACAGTGTCATTTTCTGACAGGGCAGTATTTGCATATATAAGTCTGATGAAAGGCCAGTAACCAACAGGGCTAGGGAAAGGGGTCATTTCTTATCCGTATCTCATTACCGGTTGTTTTCCCTGCTGGAAGTTGGTTCTGAACACCCTCTTTAACAAGATATGCCACTGGAGATAATAAATAACTCTGGGAATCTGGGCAGCAGCAGCAGCTTTTCTTAGAAAACCAAAGCTTTCAATGTTGGCTACTTCAAGTCAGGCCCCTAAATTCATTGTTAAGTACCCAAAACAAATTGCTATGATGATGAAAAATTCCACTTAACCACAAATCTAATTTTGACAACGTGAGCTGTGAGTACTCAGAGCTTTTTAGCTGCAGCCTGCTTTGATCTACGTAATCAGATTTGGCATTTTGTCTCTACTTAGATCTATCCAGGAGCAATGTTTCAGGAATACTGTTCAGGCAGTATCAAGTCCAGGACATTGTCATTTTCTTGACGAGGTTAGAAACTTTCTGTTCTCTTCCCATGTCAGAGTTTTTTTCACTCACTGAGCCCTAGAGACAGGAATTTCAAGAGTTTGCTGTAGCAAGAGGGAAGGTGCAAACTCAGCAATACTCACGTGCTTCATGGCACCAAGTCTGACCCAACATTTTGGGGCCAGAATTAGGGAACTATGACGGCATTAAAAGTGCATGTAGATGTCTAGTGTGATCTACAGAATTACTTGAACAGAATGTAAAGTAGGGAGCATTTTGAAAATGCTGTGGGGGCACAAATCAGTAGAGAATGTGATATTCATACCTCTGATACAGCTGATGGTGCAGGACTAATTTTCAAAACCCAATCAAGTTCTCTTGAAAACCAGGCACCAGTTTTACCCACTGTCAGGAATCCACAGTAGTTACTTAATTACCTTTCTTCCTGTGGAATTGGCAGCACCTTGCTCCTGAATAGAAACTTTCTGCCATCCAGCCCAAATTCATTTCTTAGCACCTGAGCAGCATCTACCCACATCGTTATGTACCTAAATCCCTTTAAGGACTCTTGGCTATCATGAAAACCTCACAGAGTATATACAGGTGTGGCTTTGCCTGCCGCAGGTGTGGCAGGTCACCGAGGGACAATGTAGTCACCTGCATCAAATGAAAAGGATGATAAAACAGAAAAGAAAAGCTGTTTATGTGTTGGGCCCAGTGAGAGAAGGGAATGGAGAGGGTCCTACTGTTTACCAATCCCACTTCATTTAATAGCAATCTGATGTAGTGACATAATTATACTGTGTTAATAAGTCTGCAAAGTCACGAGCTCTTTCACGGCTCTGTAGCTGCAATACAGTCTTATAAATGTTACTGTTTCTTTCCCACAACTGGTCATCTGCTGTGTGTTGTCACCTGGTAAGCAGCATAACAAGACAATAAATGCAAAGAAGCAAAGACACTTGAAAAGCTCTAAGCAAAACTCTCAAGGACCCTTGCAGATTTTCTTTGTCTGACACTTTATATTTAAAAATTAATCCAGAGCACCCCCACAAAAAATCTATTTTACTTGTTTAACAAAATGGAGTATTGATTTGCCAAAGCCTAAACAAAGCAGCCTACATGATTCATTGATCAAGAATTTGGGCTCAGTCCATGTGATCATTAACTTCTTTGTCAGATGCATTCATTTATTCATAAGCTTTGTTTATGGCAGGCCCTTTTCACTGGCTCGTTTCAAAATAACTAAAACTAAATGCCTTCTCTGCCTTCCATTTCACTGAATCCAGAAGACAAAACAGAAGGTGCTATCAGCTTCAAAGATGTTATGAGCCTTTTGAAGAATCCAGGAACTCTGGAGGCTTTCATATAAGTCCAGGCTTCAGTATTATTTTGGAACTGAACATGGTGAGTATAAAACTCTCCAAAGAAAGCAACCCCTTGTGCTGCCATGTGGGGAACTAACCAGATTTGAGAAAGTCAGTAGTTAAACTATGAGGAGCTCCATCTACCTTTGTACCGTCGCTCAGGAAATGCTGGTTGCCTGACGTAAAGCCATTCTTTTGATGGGCTGTTGTGCAATAAAATACGTGTGTTGGAAAGTTGTGATACACAGGTCAAAGGATTGTAAGGCAGGATCTGGTTAAAACCCATTGCTTAATCACAAATCAAAACCTTTCAGCTCTTCCTCAGTACAGTATCTGTGGCTACCAAAGCAGTAAGAAGCAAAAGAGTTCTGAATTCTGATTTTTGAACATGGTACTGTGCTGTATAGCTTAATAGTAGGCAGGAGATACTAACAATGAAAAATGACTCCTTATAATTAATATCTGAGTATTTGCTGTACTTATTTAATCCTGTATCAAACGTAGCATCACAGTCATGAAGAAGTTATGGTAGGGTAAAGCAGGGTGTGATCTTACCTGGAGCATGGTGAGCTCCCCTGCCCGTCCCTCGACGTGCTGCAGGTGCCAGGCACACCCAGAGAGAGTCACCTCCCAAGAGCTGGCACGGTCCCTCTCGTCCCTCTTCTCGTAATTCCACGGTGAGCCTATCTCCTTAGTGTGCAGCTGTCAACCTTTTACCATCACAAATGAAAATAGTGGGAAAAGAAGATGAAACAGTTTGTGATTTTCTTGGGTCTTGTTTAAAGAAAGAATAAAGTAGTCTCACTCTCAGTAATTTATACCACTGAAGTCTAATTTGCATGCCGGATGGACGACAGTGCCAAGTCCAGAATCCAGCCCGACTTCGGGAGCCTGGGTATCTCTGAGGATGTGGAATTATGTCTTGCTGTGTATCATCTCCTCATTCTTGCAGGGATGGTAATGAAAACCCTCTATGTGAGTCGGGACATTATGGAATAAATAGCATAAAGTACTACTGCAGGGGGAAACACAGGGCTCATCCAGAACTGTGAGGAAGATGGAAGTTTTTCCACAAATTGTATGCAGTGGGTTTTGGATAAGACACCAAGTCTGTAGTTGGTACGTAGTTCTGGTGATAATGACAGAGAATTTAGCAGCTCAATTTTCATATCTTTGGGTGGGAGAAATGAATTTTATCCTGACCAAACTTAGTGGGGAGAACTGGGCTAAAACTCCTGAGTATTAAGCGAGCTGATTGCACCTCCGAGCTGGGTCCCGTTGGAAACCTCAGTGACACATTATCTCTCAGAAAATTTTGGGGCCTACTCTTAAAAATGGTGAACTTGTAACATCTCATGCTGTACTCAAGCATTCTTTATCAGAGATAGGCTGATTTTAGCCTTAGCTCCGATGTAACTGCTGATTTTGTGCCAGCCATGGAACAGAAAACAGAATCACACTTTGCCAGAGGCAAAGTTCTCGCACAGTCTGTTCTATTATCAATACAAGTCACAAACCTTTTCTGCAGTGAGATCTCATTACAAATATTTTTATGCTCTGCAACATTCATTGGATTTAACTTTTCTTCTTAAACAATCACGTTTGGACCGAGGCAGTCATGTATTACGAGCAATAAAGAATAAGACATCATCAATATGTAGAGCGTAGTCTCTGCATCTACAGAATGTATACACACACACGTATGTATTAACTGCTCAAGCAGGCTCAGAGAACAGAAAAAAAATTAAAACATTTGCTTAATACTAATGCTATATATGTATATATACATTTTTCTGTTAGCGACATATTTGCACTATGCCTTTTTTTCAGTTAGAGATTGAATATGTGCCTCAAGAAATAGGCTTTAAATGGATGCACAATAGCTGGCTACAATGGGTAATTTCATTTAGGCATAGAATTACAAAGTAGCCATTTTTAACTTCAACTAGATTACACATTTACTAAACCTTCCATAAATTCATCATTTGGCTGAGTCTCATTGAGAATTGTTTTAAATAAATCTATGTGAAAATTAAATTTAAGTTGAAAAGCAGCAGGAAAAAGATGTATAGTAAGTACTTCATTTGTTGTAATAGGACTATTTGGAAGGAATACAAATGCACTTCAGATTGTAAAGAGCATAATTATTTTTCTCCAGAAGTTGAATGAAATAGAGCAGCTTCTGCCTATATAATATTTGATATGAATTATCCTCATAAAATTCAAGTTGTATTTTTAAAATTAAGTGTTTTCTTGGTGTATAGGAAATTTCCAAATGAGTTCTCCATTTCTTTGTTCTATCAAAATGACCAAAAAGAACATAGGAATTGTCTTGGTGCTTGGACCTGTAGTTCAGCTTCTGCATTACACTGCCTTTGGCACTGGACACCAACAGATGCTTCACAGAAATGTCAAAACCCTGTTTATTATAGAAACCAGGGGTGGGGATGGGGTGGGACATGAAGGGCATGGGAAAAACCCTAAATCTGAAAGGACCTTAAAGAGGTCACCTTGTCCATCACCCTCTCCACAAGAGGGGAGAAGTCATTCAAACCCTGACAGTGAATCTGGGTTTTAAGGTCGCATTCCCTTCTCTCATATCTAACAAAAATGCAAATGTGCAGGTTATCCATACAATGCTTAATCATTTTAAAATGCTATATGGACTTACTTAGTGGTTGTAGATGGCTGCAAGAGCTCTGGAGTGCCATGTCATAATTTATTGCTAATAGATGATTGCAGGGATTCCAAGACATTTTGTATCGCTTGGGTTTGGTCGGGAATATCAGCAGGAAGGAGGATATTGTTCCAGACAGCCATCCATCAAGTGACACTTAGGAGCTGTTAAAAAACAACATCAGAACTGTTAGATTTAATGACTCTACCTTCTTTTCCAGACAGCCCATGGAACTCATTCTGACAAGAAATAATTAAGGACTCCCCCCCGCAAAATCCGAAAAAAACCCCACCAACCAAACAAAAAAAAGTGGCAAGATTTAAAGTAGGAGTTTTTCCACCAGTCTTTGCTGCACAGTGGCACTCTGAGCAGTGTGTTTACACCAACATGGTGCTGGGCTGCCTGATGTGCGCCGCTGAGAGGCAGATGGTCTCAGCTCAGAGCTCTGTGCTCCCACAGCAGTAGCTGTTTGGAGCATCCTCCACAGCACAAGGCCGGGCTGTGTGAAGTCACCAGCTCAGGTTCACGTTTCTTCATCTGCCTGGTGGCTCTCCTTGTGGAGTCAGCCATAGGGGACCAGGATAATGAATTCAGGGTACCTGAAAAAGCTCCCCCGACTAAAGTCTACCTACTCCCTACCGATGCTTAAGCCAGCATTTAAAAATCTTCCCTCCAATTCTCTGCCCCTTTTTATTTTTGTCTTTCAAGATTTATGCCCACAGCCAAATGCCAAATAAAGAATACTCTTCCTCTAAAAATGTTATTCTGGCACTGACCCTCCTCCGTGCAGAGACTTCTTTGTGGCGTTTAACCTCCAGGGTACAAATGATTGATATCCTGTGTATCATAGCCCAGGGCATGGTCTAAAAATGAAAAAATTGTAAATTCCCCTCCCAGGAGCCCTAGGAGCCAGGGCTGTGTGCCAGGCAAGGGGACACAGATGTAGCTTCTGTTTAACCACGACACTATCACCAGTGACAACGGGCAGTCACACTGTATGTCAATAAACCGTTACCTTTTGTGAGTTTTAATTGAACTGCCTTTGTCACCATTAGAAAGTTTAAACAAGAATTTTTGTCTTTCTTACCCTCTCTGGTTCACCCATAATTTTGTATAATTCCATCATCTTCACTTTCCATTATCACAATTACGCTAGTTAGTCTTTTTGAGACAGTTCTGATCTCTGCTGTGTATGTGAATGATGACATTTCTCTGGTTTGATACAGTATTAATTAAATACCATCCGGGTTCTTTTCTTAAGAGAGACAACACTAAACTCTTTAGAGACTTCGGCTTAAAAATAAAATCGTGCCAAAGAAACTGCATGCATTAAATGCCTACTTTGTAAAATAAGTAACTGCCTTTGGAAAAGAAACAAATGCAAATTCTAGTTACTGTGCTTGAAAGAGGTGACAAGAAGAAGTGCCAGCATCTTGGCTCCCGTTGCTGCTTTATTGTCACAAATTGTTAGTTACATTTGAAAATTATGGATCTCTCTCATTGTGGAAGTTGTGTCTGCCAGTTGGTGCCTGTACACTAGAGCGGGTTTACCCAATTAGCAGAGTTTCCCATGCAGGACCCGCAATAGCTGGGCACATCCTCACCTTCCCGCAGCCTCGGCTCCTCCGGGGACGCTGCTGCTGCTCCGCAGGCCGGGGCGGTACCAGGTGAGCGCGGCGCAGCAGCGGCACAGAGCACGGCTCCGTGGAAAGCAGCCCGGGCACATCCCATCTGGCTGGGTTCCTCCACAGGTCTCTCTCTGACAGCCATAGCCCGCCTCGCTCACAGACACCCAGTGCAGCAGAGAGAACGGGATTCTTAACCCCAGTGCACTCCTGAAATGAAAACAGGGCATGGAAACAGGGACATTTACGCGCTCCTTGTAATCTCATCATGGGCCATCTCAAGCTGTTTGCATCTCTCCTCTGGCACTCAACCAAGCCAAACCCACCCCGTGCGGAGCTGTGCACTACCCAAGCTAAAGCTGAAGCTCTCACTAAGATGATGGGAGTGCCATCAGGTAACTGCTGTATGGGAAAAGCATCTGAGGGATTTGTTAAAGAGGAGGCAGGAGTGGAGGAATGGCAGTCCTGAGAAAATAGAAGCTTAACTGCAATTCTTCATCTGCCAGTGGACTCAATTGCCTGTTCCCTATTTTCAGTTTCATTAAACCATGGAAACATGGTATTGCAAAGTCTCCCATCAATAACACAGGGCCGTGGACCTTTCCTGTCTTTTGCCTTGTTACTGTCTATAGATTTCTGCACTTTTCTAGAGCAGGTGAGTAGACACACCATATTTCCAACCGAGTCACAACCTGGAGATTACACCAAACTTCAACT